CTTTAAAAAGATTAATTGTGCTGCATTCTTGGTTTCACTCAGAGCCAAAGCTCTGAGCTACTTATACCGTCCACCCTTAAAAATAATTGTTGAGCATTTCAGTCATGCTAAAAACCACTCAACAATAACATACGATAAATCTACATTTATATTCTTTAAATTACGTCACATTTTGAAATGTGAATGAGAGTGTGGTTAATTCCCAACAATTTAGTGCAGACTATCCTGCTTGCGAAATACAATTTGGCATCAACATTATTCATACCTGTTCTCCCGTCATTTAAAAACTGGACGATGAGATTTGCCTGCGTGAGCAGCTTTTCAAACGGGAGACAGACGAACACTCGAAAAGATATCACGGTTCCCAATATATGTCTTGTATATGTACCAGAGTTGTTATATTTTTGAAAGATCAACGTTAGATGGGAGACTTCATCCCTAGATCCTCTACCATTACTCCGTTCTCACATTAGCTGTTAGCTATTTCATATTATATTTACACAATTACCATTTGTTAAATTACTATTTGTTAAAGACCTGTCGTTCAGGAAAGCTAAAAGTAGGAAATGTAGTTTTATATAACTGTACTGGCAGGCCTAATGTTGCCTTTTGAGGCCTAACTGTACTGTTTATTTGTTTTTGTTTTTGTTAAGTGGAAAGCTACACAAAGATATATCTGTATTGTGCCTACCACGAGTATCAAAACCCGATTTTTAGCGTGATAATTCTTTTGACTTGCCGCTGAGCCACTGCGGAGTGAGAGGGGCCACCTAGCTATATCTAGAGTATGAAAAAATCTGAAAGTAAGAGATCCGAACTTATCTTGTTAAGAAAATCGTGAATTACCTACTTCAGATATTAATAATAAATAGATAAAATACTTGTAATAAATAACTAATGGATAGTTATTATTTTCGATTTTTGCCCGATGTTCATTGTATTTTTGTATAAATATTTCGAATTTTCTTAACTTATCCACTACCAGTTAGTCATTAAGACCGTAAACCTGAAAATGGCTGCTGTGAATTAAAAAACAAACGACATAGAAGAGAAAACTTCATTTTATGTGATAAATTACATGGCCTGATGGTTCGTGTACTGGACTCGACTCGCAATCTGTGGGTCGCAGGCTCATATCCCGTCACCATGGGAACGTTATAATGTAACGGCCAATCCCACTATTCCTTAGTAAACAAGTAGCCCAAGAGTTGGAGGTGGGTAGTGTTGACTAATTGCCTTCCTTCTAGTATATCACTGCTAAATTAGGAATGGCTAACGCAGATAGCCCTCGGGTAGCTTTGCACGAAATTCAAACAAACCATAATTTACACATGTAATACCATCGTTAGAAGCACATGAAAATATCTGATTATTGTAATTCTTACGAGAATATCTGATTGTTGTGATTCTTTCATTAACAGTAATGTTGTTAAACATATCCTGGCGCCTTTATAATAGGTTTAGTTTTCTTTCATAGAACATTCTGTCAGTTATAGTTTAAGATTATTTCAAAAGTAAATACGATCAAGTGAAAGAAGGTTTTGAGACTAATATTTCACGTATAATTGAGGATTACTTGTATCTATAATTTTTCAAACACTTTTAAAAACTCCCTATGTAATTAGAGGTGTGTGTATGTTTCTTTTATCCAATTGCATTGATTTTCTTATATATACAAATTGCACTTGAGATATTCTTTCGATTTCAATGAGCTCAGTCCAGATGACGAGTTCTGGTGTTAAACGAAAGGCTTCTTGAGCAATGAATCGTGGCAAACAAAAAAAGCAGATCTGAATTGACATTTTACGCAATTTTGATTTGAAATCCGAAAAAGACCTTTTCGTTTTTATTGTTTTAGAGCAAAACCACATTGGGTTATCTGCTGTGTCCACTGCGGGGAATCAAACCTCGGATTTTACCGTTGTAAGTTAATAAACTTATCGCTGTCCCAAAAGGGGACTCCGAAAAAGGTATTAAGAGGAACATGAAAAAAAACCTACTTTCAAGCGTGGTTTTAATCACTTTTGTTAGGTCTAAAGAACCTTATTACTTCGTTCAATTTAATATTCAATTTTATACCACTGCTCATAGCTATCAAAGCCTATAACATTAAGTGCGGTTTCTGTTAAATTTTTTTACACTAATGTTTTATAAATAATTTAACCAGGAATGAGCGGGTGGCGAATATAACTACACATATGAAAACTAATGTAGCAGCCTTGTGAACAGTGTGGCGAAGTAAATATTAAAGAATATAAGTAAACTTAAATTTCAAGTCAAACCTACCCTTTATGTCTAGTTTGTTTGTTTAAGTTATGTGCAAAGCTACACAATGGGCTCTCTGTGCTCTGCCCACCAAAAGTATCGAAACCCGGCATTGTAAGTCCGTAGACATACCGCTGTGCCACTGGGAGGCATTTATGTCTAGTATATCCGCTTTAAAACATAATCATTATGAAGTTATTTTAGTTAGACACCAGAACAACTTTATTCAGTTTACACACCACGACAAAAATATACTTTAGTCGTCAGTTTCATCGATGTTTTATTTGACAGTTCTTTTGGTGACGTGTCTATAAATTACAGGGAAAATGAGAAGTGCAAGTCTACATTTATAAAATATATTACTCTTAATATCATTATTGATATAAAAATAATTTTAAATTAGTATTTTCTGTATCGACGCTACTTATTTCAATTTTTTTTTCAAGATATTAGATTGTTATTTTAAGATATTTAACATGTTATAAGGCATTTATTGCAAAATCATTCTGATAAGAAACTGAACATGATTAGCACAAACATTCAACAATTCATCTCGTATCTTTAGAGTTTAAAAATAATAAACTATGACAAAACGTCTGATTTCGAAGGATTACACTTACAATATCATTGGGCAGAACTGAGAAAAGTGTCATTGTAATATAAGTTAAAACTTTTAATTTCTTCCCTCAATTTCTTTCTTGACTTTTTATAATTATAAAGAACGTCTGGAAATTAAATCAACGAAATTGTTTAACCAGAAAATGATAACAACTAAACCACTTTATACTCTATTCCATTCCTTAGATTTTATATCGTTTTACTGACCACCTGAAATTTTTCTTTACTTCAAAAATATATAAAATTATGTGCTTAACCCATTTTATAATTACTTTATAAGTGACTCTTTTAAATTTTTTCATCAAAAACACTTTACCTTAGTAATTTAATGCAAATTGAACATAAAAAGTTAGAAAAGGGAATTAGGAGATGTCTTTAAAAAAACTCAAATAAATTTCAACTCCTTCTGCCTAATTACCAAATGTGTCATTTAGTTAGAGTGGATTTGGTTTAACTTTTACCAGTTCGTGGAATTATCTTGCCTAAATAAAGTCATCAGACGATTATTTAAAAAAAAATAGTAAATGAGTTTGGAAAATATGATTGAACAGTTTTAGTTAAAACAAAATCATGTGGTATTTCTCTTGCTAAGTACTTTACACAAATAATTTCTGCTTAGGTGTTTTGAATACATAACTAACTTTATCAGAGGAAGCTTGATTAGATAAATACAAATATTGTAAGCGTTTAGATAGATATTTGAAGTTTGCTAGATGATTAAATAAAATATTAGAACAACACATATTTAATACATTTGATTGAATTGCTTCTTATTAATGATACAAGTACCTCTATATCAAGAAAATATATATTTTATGAGATAAATCCAACATATTACGCCTGTATTTTACCAGTTTCTTCCGAGTTATGGTGATTTGACTTATATTGATTACGATATGAAGTTTTAAATATTAGGTCGTCAATAAATTTATGTCGGTATTTTTAGATGAAAAAAACCCGAACAACTTATATATCAAAACAAAATATTTATTA